TTCCCTCCTGGAAGAAAGAAATACTTTTAACAAATGTGCTTTATGAAGTGGGACCACTACAGAGCAAGGTTTTTCTCCTCTTTCGAATTGCACGCTTGGTTACGTAAGCACTTGCCACTCTTCTGTCTTGTTCTTTTGTGGGTTTTACTAGTGCACAGGGTCGGGGCTGCTGCATCCCTGCAGTACCCTCTCACCACCCCAGCCAGGGGGCATCTAGTCGGGAGAATATCCAACGTCTCAGGCTGGGCCTGCAGCAGGGGGTGGCCCTGAGAGCCTCAGAGGAGGAGTGGGAGCCCCACCAGGCCTTGGGCAAGGAAGCCCAGCTGCCTGGGCTGTGGTTCCTGGTGCAGCGCCCCCAGAAGGAAGCGGCACCCACTCTGAGGATGGCCATGAAGATGAAGGAGGCACGGGGGCTACATTCCCTGCAAAGCTGGGCATGGGTGCCAATCTGTGTGCCTGCGGGCCCCATGTCTCTCCTACCGAGGCTCACTTTCTTTCTTTATATTTGCCAAGGGACATGGGCTCACCAGATGAGAGACGAAGGAGAGAAAGATAGAGAGAAAATGTGGAAAAGTAACTCACCCCGCCTTGGGGAATGGTCACACTACCGTCCCTTTTCCATGTCTCACTTTGGGATTTGGGACACACATGTACACATGCCTGGCGTGTCCTTCAAGACACTGGATCCAGGACTTGGACCACACAGTCCGCCATGCGGGATTCAGTCACCTTACCCTCCACACACGGGCTGGTCCGAGGCTCATATTTTAAAGACTGGAAGTGAAATCTTCACCTCTTCAGGACAGAGACTTGCATATGGACAAGCCCTAACCTCCCATGGGGCCTGAGAAAATGCCATGTGGCATCCAACCTGCATGGCAGGCACCAAGCCAGGGCGGCCTGAGGACCAGGCCCTCCGTACCGTTCGATGATGCGGTTGTTGTCCTGGAGGTCGAATGCCAGCAGCTTCATCCCCTCGCAGAGCTCCTGCATGCTGTCCAAGGCAGAGGCAGGAGAGGATGAAGCGCCACTGCCCAGGCTCTATCCCTGGGAGACCCTCTCCCTACAGCCTCATTGGGGCAGCCTCTGTAGTCCTGCCTCCTAGGTCTGGCATGAAGCTGGACCCCTCAGCCCCCCTATGCTCAGTATTCTGCACCCCCAACCCATACAGACACGCACCGGCACCCCTCTCTCCAGCACTTACTGTCGAACCAGGTCCTTTGGTACAGGGCTGGGATAAGATGCTGCTGGGGGTGGTGGGGCCTGGGCCCCCTTTGCTCTGTTCTGGAGGAGCTGGTGAGACAGCTGGTCCAGGATCTAGGAGAAGCCATGCTGTAATCAAGGGATGAACAGCATATGCGCAGCGGGGTAGGGGGTATGCTGAGGGAGGCGAGAAAATAACAGAACTGCCCCAGCCTGTGAACTGAAGCTCCCAGAATTCTCCAGTCTTCCCTGTGAGCCCTTCCCTTCCATCCTGGGAGTGTGACTGCCATGAACACTTCAGTCGCCTGTGCTTGGATCGGATGGTCCAGGCTGCTAGGTTCTCCTGACCTGACCCCTCTCGTGACACAACACGAACTACAGGCTGCAGAGAGGGCGAGGATCAGCTGACCTCTGAAAGCCCTGCTGCCACCCGGGCCTGGAAGGACCCACGTGTGGCTCTCTCCTAGAGAAGGAGACCCTCTGCTCCTTGTGGCAAGCTCGATGGCTTCTCAGGGCAGAAGACGACCAAGGAGACCTCCCATTGCCTCTCTAAGGAGCGGAGAGCGCCGCTGGAGCCTCCCTGGCTGCATGGGACCACGAGGATGCTCCTGTGTTCTGGAGCCTCTGCCCTGGCTGGGACCTTCGGTCTGAGATCAGCAGCGAGTGCCTTTCCATCTTCCTCTGTCCCCACAAATTGACACATTTGTGGGTTGCCTACAGCACAGTGCTTGGCCTTGGTCAAGGTAAGCTTTGCCCAGAGGCAGGGAGCAGCCTGAGTGCCCCAACCCCAAGGTCATCCACAGGCCTCCTCTCAGCAGCCCTGGTGCCCCAATGCTGCACACCTTGCTGAGGCTCTCCTGGGCTCCCTGGGCTTCGGTGTTACAGGCGGCCACAGAGCAGCCGACCAGGCGCAGGTGGTTCCGGGTCTCATGTGCCACCCTCGAGAGAGCAGGCAGGGACGAGCATTAGAGCAGTACTCAGGTTCCGCTTCTGGGCCCACAGCCGTCACTGTCTCCCCACATGAACACGGCGGGTCCCAAGCATTTGCTCCCTCACTGCCTCTGCCCTTGCAGTGCACGCTCAGCTCTCACCAGCCTCCAGAAGCAGATACCGTCAACCTGCCTGGGCTGGGCCAGTTCACACAGTGGTTACGGTAAGGGGCGTACGTCTCCAGAGGCACAGAGGAGAGCCCACGCCGGGGCACTTAACGTGGGAGCTGCCCACACTCCCATTTCCGCAGCAGAGCACGGGCAGGACTCTTGTGAATGCTCTTCTCTAAGTGGAGGGGGTGAGCAAGGACGGTCTCCCCCAGGCCCAGAGCCCTGAAATCAGTGGCTGGTTCTGAAACCTGGCTACTTGTTAGGACCACTTAGAAGAGCTTCTCAAACATAGTGATCCAACCAAGCGCCACCCCAGATCCATGAACTCGGAAGTTGAGGTGGGATGGGACAGAAGTGGGGCGGGCTGGGCTCCAGTATTCTGATATGGGGTGGTGGTGAGTGCCTGGTCTCAGCCCTGTAAGGAGCTTGCAGGCCACACAGACCTCGGAACCTGGCAGGATACGGGAACTGTCCTCCCTTCTCAGGAGGCGCCAGCGTTCAGGAGTGGGGAGGAAGGGGTTTGAGAAGGGCGAGTTCAGCTCCAGGGAGAGGGCAGTATTTAAGGACCGTGGCCACCTGTGCTTGTCCTCCCGGGAACCTGTGCTGTCCCCAAGAGGAGGCTTCCCAAGGCATCCAGCGAGGACAGTGGAGGGGTCCGGATTTGGGAGGCAGGCACGGTCACACACTAGTTTGGGGCCTGCCACTTAGCCGTGTGATATTGAGCCTCAGTTTCTTGCCCGTGACAAGGCGGCGATGTCCACTGCACAGGGCGGGTGTCACCCAGCAGACCGCCTGGTCCTCCTCACACACAAAATCACCCCTTTCCTAGCTTTCCCTCACTGGCGCCCTCCTCTCATCAGGGCTCTGCAAAGCTCAGGGTCCCCTGAGGTCTGGGGGTGCCAGGCCAGGTTCTGGGATCCATGTGCTCAGGGGGACCGTTACCTCATCCGTTTGCCGTGAGTGACGAGGGACGCCTGGTACTTCTGCACGCACTCTTCCTGGAACACCTGCAGGAGCCTTTTGGCTAAATGGCTGAAGTTCACCCTGGGGAGAGAGGGAAGCCAAGGCCACGGATGAGTAGCCAGAGCACGTAGGCATGAACCTCACCCCCCTTGGTTGCGTCATCAGTGCCCAGCCCTCGGATTCACAGCAGGGCTGTGTCCGAGGGAGGAGGAGGCAGCACACACTGGGACGAAGCAGCAGAGGGGCCAGTGAGCACAGCGGCAGTGGCGAGCCAGGGGTGCTGGCCTCAGGCGACACGCACACTCATGCCTAAGCCCCAGACGGAAGAGCAGATGGTTACGGGAAAGGTGTGAGTGAGGGAGTGAACGAGTGTGTATGTATGTGTGTGTAGGACTGGGGGTAGAATAGGACTGGGCAATTGAGTCTGTAAATAACCATGAAATTGAGCCGCACAATGGCTCAGTGTGACGTGTGACGCTCTGCTAGGCCCTCCCACATGGAAAGGCTCCTGCTTCATGTCTGGGGACCTCCCTGACTGTGCTGGACACCCGTGTGCCCGTGACCAGCACGGTGACCCAGGACTGGCTGGGGCTTGGGTAGATCACAGCATCGGGACTCTGTCGGAGGGGCTGTCTCTCTCTCTCTCTCTTTCTCACTCATGAAGGACATCAATGAACTTTAAAAACCAGCACACACACAAATAACCACTCAGTCCGGGAGGGCCTCCTGGACTGAGCACGTTGGGGAGCCAGGAACAGAGGGGAGCACGGAGGAAGGCGCCGACCAAGGTCAGAAGCAGGAAGCGGCAAGGAGTAAAGCAGGGAGGAGAGGCGGACAGAAACCCCGCATGCCAGAAGCAGACCAGTCACAGCAGGGTTACTTCTGAGAAGCCTCCCTCTGACTCAGCTCTGCCGCCTCCCTCCCCTGGCCCCAGATAACCTGCCCCGGACACATGTGTCCTCCCTCCGGCTCAGTCACTCCCCAGGACCAAGCCCTTGCAGCACTTCTTGTCTGGCACAGAGTCGCTCTGCCCTGTGACATGCGCCCTCCACCCTCCGCCCGCCCCAGCCTGCCCGGCCGCCTGCCAGGGCACAGGCCACTCACTTATCCAGCTTGTGAATCTGCTCCTCGTTGTAGCCGAGCCCTGCAAGAAACAGACCAGAATGATGTCACCCATTCAGTCGACAACACGGGGTGCTGCGAGGGGCAGGGGACAGTAGCAAAGTTGAAGCCAGATCTGCTTTATGGGCTCTTACAGCCCAGTGGGGTCAGGAAGCGGAGAGGAGTGAAATAAGCTCCCGAGGGACACCAGTCAGGTAGGGGCCTAAAGAGACTGCAGAAATTGCTAAGAGGCTGCAGAGGAAAGCAGACCCGTGTGCAGGGCTGGGGGAGGGAATGGTGGAGTGCTCCAGGTGGAGAGTGGAGGATAAGATGAGCCTTGAAGGATGCTTGGTCAGCCACGGGCCCTGCCCAACACCCTCCGAGTGAAGCCTATGGCTGGCTGGCCCACAGCAGGAGAGCCAGAGGGCCTCTGTAGCAAGAGCTGGGTAAGCCAGGCTCCCCACTCTCCCCTGCCGCTCTCTGTCCAGTCCCCAACCAGAAGTTGCACTGAAATTCTCGGCACTTAGGCTGCCTCAAGGACCCAAACCCTCATGCACTAGGGAGATGCTGCCCTCTCCTGGGCTTCAGGGGAATGACACTCTGGGGTCTGCAGCCCAGATCATTAGATATAGTTTTGTCTGGGGGCAGAGGGGTGGGGTCCTTGCATTCCACTCCCCTAGTAGCAGAATCTCCTTCATGGACCCTGCGCTCAGCCAGCAGAGAGCACCTGTGGAGTCCAAGAGGTCTCAGATAAGGCCCAGGCCAGCCTCCTGGCAAGCGGCCAGCAGCTGCAGGCAAGTGAATCTGTTCCCTAGTCCACGAGTTAGTGCCCTGAAAACTGAGCATTCCCCAGAATGGTGTCTTTCACCACACTGGGTCTTAGCAAGTCAGGGTCATTCTTCTGGGTCATTCTGAATTTTAATAAAGGACTCTTGGAGACCATTCGAAATAAATTCACTGTAGGCTGTAAGATGGGGCAGCTCAAAGCAGTTGGACCTAGGTTGCTTGGGCTATTTAACCCTTCCACGTCTATTTCCTCACCTATGGAATGGGGAGGATAATGGTGCATGAAGTAATTTAAGAGCACATACTTAATTTAAGACCAAGACCTGGGACCAGCAGATGACCTAGTGGCTATGTCGCTGGACTCTTACATAGCTAACCATGGCTTGAATCCCAGATCCAGCTGCTTAAAAATCACGCTGGGTGCATGTGCATGCATGCCCATGACCCTGCGAGGACAATGGAAAAGGGATTGCGGTGTGGTCATCCCCCTGGGGGTGTGATTTCTCACTTTTCCTCTGTCTTGGTCTCGGTCTCTCTCCAGCGATTGCACACAACCTAAAGCAAAAGCCTCTTTAAAAAAAAAAAAAAGAGCAGGGACCAGCAGTTAGTGTAATGGCTAAGTCATTGAACTCCCATGTAGTCGATTACAGTTTGAGTCCCAGACCCGGTGGCTTAAACTCACACTGGGCATGTGTGCGTGCATGCCCAAGATCCTGAGAGCAGAATGGAGGAGAAGGGATTGCAGCGTGGCCATCGCCCCTGGGGTGATTTCTTGCTTTCTGTCTCTCTGTCTCTCTCTGTCTGTCTGGCGAGCGCACGTGCCCTATAGAAAAAACCCCTCAAAAAAAAAAAAAAAAAAAGGCAAGCCCTTAGGAGGGTGCCTGGCACAGAGGAGGTGTTCAGAAGTTCAGATTTTAGGATTAAGGAAATCAGCCATGAAGGCAGAATAGCCCCTGAGGTTCTTCTGAACCACAGCAAAGGAGGCCAACTGGGCAGAACGCCAGACTTGCTGAGCCCAAGTCCTCGCTAGCTTCTGGGAATAGGACAGTCTTGCTTCCCCAGCCTGTGGTTCACGCCCACCCCTCAGATGCATGAGTGAGGCTCCCGAGGACGGGAGAGTCCCTTCTAGACCGGTGTGTCCGTTACCTGGATCCCCAGAACACGTGTACTGAGCATTTGACTGAAAAACTGAATCCCTATTTTAATTTTATTCATTCGATTAAAGTTTAAAATGAAAGCGGTGTAAAATACCTCCCTGCCCCCACTAAATATAGTTTTATTATTTTGATAAGACTACATTTAATTGTATTCAAAATTTAGCTTTCAAATAGAGATATGCTGTAAGTGTGAAATACATATGAGATGTTGAAGGCACACACAAAAAAACCCCCGGGAACCAGCAGTTAGCGTAATGGCTATGTCGCTGGACTCCCATGTAGTTGACCGCGGTTCGCGTCCCGGACCTGGTGGCTTAAAACTCACGCCGGGTGCGTGTGCATGTGCGTGCACGCCCAGGATCCCAAGAAGAGAATGGAGGAGAAGGGACTGCGGTGTGACCATCCCCCCTGGGGGGTGATTTCTCGCTTTCTGTCTCTATGTCTCTCTCTGTCTGTCGGGCAAGCGCACGCGCCCGATAGCGAAAACCTCTCAAAAAAAAAAAAAAACTCTGTAAAATAGCTCTTTAATAATTTCATTTATACTGATTACAGGCTGAAATGACATTGTGGATATATTGGGTTGAATAAAATACATCATTAACATTCATGTCACCTGTTTCTGCTTTTTAAAATCTGGCTACTAGAGAACTTACAGTTACAGACGCCGTTGGCATTATAGTCATATTGGGTGGAGCTTTTTAGATAACCCCAGGGAGAGAATATGGCAATCAAGCCCAAGTTCTTCAGTCTAAAGATGAGGGAATGCTTTGGCTATGAGAGGGGAGAGAGGGGGTCGTTCCCTGGTATATTACCTTCCCCACGCCAACGGTCAACTGAGGCCTGCCCACGCTCCCCTAACCTCATCTGCCTGGGCTCAACCCTTGCCTTGCCCCAGACTGGCGGTCACCTTGGGCAAGCAGCTTCCTATTCCCAGGCCTGTGAATGGGTTGTCCTGCTCTCAGGGTCTCTGTGATAATCATAAAGTGCCTGGTCTGGGGACTTGAACTGCAATTTCTCCTGATCCCCCTTTTCTGGAAAATCTGGCTATCTCTGTGCCCCCAAGAACAATAGCTAGGGAAACATTCCTTAAACTGGAAAGTGACCTGCCAAGGTGGGGGTCTCCTTCCAGGGCCACCTCTTCTGCAGCACCCAGGCTGCAGCTCACCACACCCTTCACCCCAGTCGTCTGAGCCTCTCCATAGCAGCAGGCATGGGGGTCCCTCCCTGGCCCACAGGCAGCATGTGGTCAAGGACGCGGCCTGGCGCCACTGAGCACCACCCAGGAGACCCAGCAACACCTCGCAGAGTATCAACAGATCACCAAGAGGAATGAAGGCAGAGAGGGGGGAAGGAAGGAGGGAAGGGAGAAAGGAAGGCAGGGGGAGGAGAGAACACAAAGCCGGGCTCTCCCCACAGCTCACCTGGCCGCATCCTGGACTTCTTGAACTGCTTGTGAATAAGGAACATCTTGTCCAAACAGCACTGAATCTGCTGGATGCTGTGGCAGGAGACAGGGACCAGGCATTGGAGGAACCAAACGCCCCGAGGTGATGGAGTACGGGCAGGAGGAGCTGCTTCCCTGTGGAAGCCTTGCCGCCACTGTCACAGGGGCCAATCTGGGAACGGGGGTGTCCGTCCTGTCTCTAAACTTGTTTGAAACACATTAGGGCCAGCCAACCATCGCTCATTCTCTTTCTTCTCTCTCTCCCTCTCTCTCTGTCTCTCTCTCACGCACGCACACATGGACTCACGCTACACCCACATACATGCACCTCACATCAAGTAAGAAGCAAGATAGAGAAGCCGGGCAGGACAGGCAACAGGAAATGACCTTTGCTACACAAGAAGATTCCAGAATGGACTCTGGTGGGCCAGCAGGTGGTGTGGAGGTTTAGATCCCACATGGCCTCCTCTGCAGTTCGAGACCCAGACCGCGTAGCTTGAAAGACGTGCCAGGTGCATGTGCGTGCATGCCCAAAATCCCAAGAGGAGAATGGAGGAGAGGGGATTGCAGTGTGACCATCCCCCTGGATGGGGCGATTTCTCACTTTCCCCCCTCTATCTCTGTCTCTCTCTGATGAGCACATGTGCCCTAGAGCAAACAAACAAAGAAGAAGAAGGGGAGGAGGAGGAGAGGAGAAGGGGGTGGGGGAGGACAGCCTGGGAGGAGCCTCTGCCCCTGACACCAAGAGTCCAATAAGGAGGGATGGGATGAGTGGAGAAGAAATCTCCCTTCTAGTCCCCTGGAGAGGGCAAAGGGGCACACTGTCCTGGTATTCCCCAGGCCTGGCACGTAGAAGGAAATTGGGACAAATAATGAATCAACAATCCTGGTTTAAAACAAGCCCAGCCCAGGTGGTCCAGGCAGCGGGTGCTCTGCTGTGTGGTGCTAGAGGCCATCCGGGGGCAGGTTCATGTCCAGCCTACCTGAGCACACCCTGATCCTGAGGCTGAGGCTGGACATGAAGGCCCTGGGTGAGTGCCTGTCTCTCTCTTTCTCTCCTCTCTCTCTTTCCTCTCTGAGGAAATAAACTTTAAAAACAACAAAAACGAATGATTCCACAGCCCTTGGTCCTGCCTGGAGGCGGAGGAGGCCGGGGATGACCCTTTCAGGACCTCCTCAGCCTGGAGTTTAAGGTCATCATTGTTTCTTTCTTCTCCTTCCCGAAGGGGGCACCAATATTGAGCCTGAGTGTGGGGCGTGGTGTGTGGAGGGGCAGTTAGCTCCGCTTCCACCCTGGAGCTCCTCCAAGTGACCCGGTACCAGCTATTTCTGGAGCTGGACTCTGGGCTGAGCACAGGCTCCTTCCTGGGGTTCAGC